AATAAGTCTATATTCTGCCCATAGCATCCTTAAGTATTGCAACTTGAAGCTTGAATTTGTTTTTTAGTTCCTTCAGCTTAAGAAATGCCAAAGGGGTTTGGCCCTTTTGATTTTCTGACTCCAGCTCTTCATATAATATTTTACTTTGTCTTCCTGAGCTGCCCTTTGAAATCTTCTATTCAGCTCCTAAACTTGCTGCTTTCTTCTCTTTGCTTTGGTTTCTCAATGCTCTAGTGCAATATTCAGAAGTCTCTTCAGATATCCATCTTGGTCTTTTCTCCCTCCTCTGTCTTTGAAATGACCTTTTGCATTCTTTGTGGATGATATTGTTGATATCGTCCTACAGGTCATTAGTCATTAATGTTCAAGGCCTCAAATCTTTTCCTGAGATGGTTTTTAAATTCAAGTGGGATAGACTCGAGGTCCAAGTTTGGGTTCGGTGGATTGGATTTTACCTCCTTTCGCTTTAGTTTGAACTTGCATATGAGTAGTTGATGGTCTGCTCCAAAATCATCACCTGGCCTAGTTGTCACAGCTGATATTGAGCTTCTACAGTGATTATTTCCACAGGTGTAATCGATCTGATTTCTGTGCATACCATCAGGTGAAATCCATGTATATAATCTGTGTTTGTGTTTCTTAGAAAAGGTATTTGCAATGAATAAACCATTGATTGAGCAGAATTCTATCAGCCGCTCATTACATTATACTTCAAGATGTATGTAGAAATGTATGTAGAAATGACTTTTTAAACTACGAAAGCAACTTGTTTTTCCTCTCCTTTTCATCTCTGGCATAGTAGATTATATGACTATCTGATTATATGAGTATCTGATTCAAAATGTTCCATGCCAATCCAATCTCTCCAATACTTAATATGTTAATACTTATGCATCCATACAAAAATCACTTGGCTTTCTCTACCGTGACAAAAAGAATACAGAGCCAGAACTAAGAGAAACAATACCTTTCACAATAGCTAATCACAAGATTAAATACTTGGGAATAAATTTAACCAGAAGTACAAAGGACCTTTTCCAAGAAAATTACAAAACATTACTACAAGAAACAAAAAGAGATCTTGAAAAGTGGAAGAATATCCCTTGCTCATGGATAGGAAGACTCAATGTTGTGAAAATGGCAATACTACCAAAAGCAATTTACACATTTAATGCAATCCCAATACAAATACCAACCCCATTCTTCAACGAGATGGAAAAGGCAATCTCCAATTTCGTATGGAATGGGAAAAAGCCCCGAATAAGCAAAGCACTCCTTAAGAATAGAAGAACGGTAGGAGGTTGCAACACTCCCATGATACATCTTGAAGGATATGTACATGTACAGCCAAGCACAATCAATAAGAGTGCATCTGAATTCCAAAATCAATCTCCATAATAGTCTATGTGTTTCCTACTGCCAAAGGGGCCCTTTAGAGTAGTGAGAGAAGATCTTCACCCTGAAACCCACAGCGCCCCTTTTCAGCAGGAAGTAGCTAAGAGAATACGCCGTCCCCTTTTCCTTATGACTCAGGGTGAAGTCTCTCTCAGGGAGGAGTGATAGGGAATGGCAAAGGATACACTGACAAAGAAGATTAATCAGAACTGGCTTTGACAAGCATTGTGGCATTTGGACAAGAACAAACTGGGAGGAGGGTAGAGAGAATAGTGCAACAATGAATGAGTGGAAGCCCAAAATCTCTGTAAATGTTTATGAAAATTAATAAAATATAATTAGAAGAAAAAAAAATACTTATGCATTCCATTTTTTTCTTAACAATGTCCAGTTTTCCTACATTCATGCTTCTCACATGCCACATTCCAATCATTAGTGTCTACTTACAACTGTTCCTCCTCCTCTGAAGCTCCAAATTTGAGGGCTCAGTTTCAGATGCCATATCTATTAATCTACTCTAAGTGTGCTCTATGGTACGTAGGGTTTTCGAAGGCCTGTCCTAGAAGACTTATTTATTTGCGATTTCCTTGGACTTGGGTGGTGGCAAGCCCAGAGAGATCCTCATCTTGGGTTTGTTTCCCAGCTCCAGACCATGCTGGCTGGAAACTTCAGCTCCATTTCCATCAATGTTCCCCTATCTCTGTAGGCTGCGCAGAGGACTGCTTTCTCACTTATCTGCTTAGTGGGTACCTTAGGGGATCACTCTACCTATTGGCATGTGTTCTATTTTGAGGATTTGATTTAACCTCTTTCTTATTATTATGGTCCCCAGGGAAGAACGGTGCAAAGACTAAGTTTATCTGGGGATGGTTTTCCTTTGCTCTTATAAAGAGTTTCTCATTGTAATTACCCTAGAGATAAGAAATTGTTTTGAATTTCTCAGGGGATTGATTTTCCAACACATTTTTTTCTCATAGTTTAGTGGAAATGACATATTTTAGCTTGTCAAATCAGTTTTCTAGAGTTAAACCTTCCTGGTCTTCTTCTTGGAAAAAGTAAATACTCTTTTTATTCTTCTTTCTTTTAAATTTGAGGATGATAATCTCTGTTACTTTCTATGCATCTGAAAGTTGTTCAATGAGTAAGGATGACAGAAGTAGAATTGACACCTTTGAACTCTGGTGTTGGTGAAGAGTATTGAATATCCTATGGACTGTCAAAAAACAGATATATCTCGGAGAAGGTGCAGCCAGAGTGCTCCTTGGAGGCAAGGATAGTGGAGTTTTGTCTCACATATTTCAGGCATGTTATTAGGAAGGACCAATTCTTGCTAAAAGACATCATGTCTGGAAAGATCAGCAACAGAGGAAAGCTCTCAGTGAGCTAGACTGACAAGGTGACTGTAACAATGGGCTGAAGAATATCAAGAATGATAAAGATGGAACAGGATAGGACACAGATCTGTTGTTCATAGACTCACTATGTGTTGTAGTTGACTTGAGAGCATCTATCAACAAAAACAACAATGTCTCCTGGTAGAGAGTGCTGGTGGCCTAGTAGTGCTAAGGAGCTACACTGCTAAGTCAAAGACAGTGGTTAAAATACACCAGCTTTTCTTTGGGAGAAAGATGGGCCACCTTCTCCTGTGAGTTTAACTGCCTCTGAAAACCTGCTGGAGAGCAAACTATGAATCGGTTCTGACTTGATGGTACACAAAAACAACAGTATGTTTCTGGGTAAGCAAGAAATAATATTATATACATAAAGTTCCTCAACAATACCTAGTGCCAAGTGGATGCTTGATAAATGGAATTTGCTGATGTTGTTATACCCAGGGTCATAGCTGAGATTCCTCCTGTCTGTACTCTCTCCCCTCTTCTTGGAGGATTCGTTTTTTTCTTTTCTCTTTTCTTTTCTTTTCTCTTCTCTTCTCATTTCTCCTTCCTTCCTTCCTTTTTTTGTTTCTTTCTCTCCCCCCTTTTTTATTTTTTATTTGTTGTATATTGTTGCATCAAATCTGACTGGCACAGGAAGAGATTATCCCTCCTTCTCCAGCCGAGCATTTGGTGTATTCAAACCACATGCCTTCGGGATTATAGTTCAGCTTAAAGAAAGAATTAAAAGACTGTATTGCTGCTCTAGTGGCCTAGTGGTAAGAAGGTATGCTGCCAACCTGAAGGCACACAGTTTGAATCCACCAGCGGCCCTGTGGGAAAAGGATGGACAATCTCTTCTCATGTGATTTACTGCCTCTGAAAAACCTGCTGGAGGGTCAGTGATAGGACGATTCCAACTCTACAGTATACAACACCAACACTGATGCCCTATGTCAAACTGGTCCCACAGCCTCGGTCTGTGCTACCACAAAGAATGCTTCCTTGTTGGGGATTTAGGGCTCATTCTTTACATTATTTGTGCAATGTATCATTGCTTTCTTCTTCCTTAAAGTTTTTACTTGCCAAATGAAGACCTAGAGATAAAAATGGCCCCTTGGTTACTGGTCTAGACATTATTCTGAAAGTTCAATTTGTATTGCATGAGGTACAGAGAGATTAAATATTTCACTGAGAATCAAGTAGTTATTAGCAAATAGTTAATGTTCTAGTCTAAGGTTCTAGTCTAACTAGAGTCTTGAAGGGTGATCCCAAATTGCGTCTTTCAAAGAGAGAAAGAAGATATTTCTGTCTATCCTTGGGCAAGATAGGTAAGTGGGGAAGAGAAACATTGGATATCGAGTGAGAACAAGTGGTCAGCACTTGGTCATTTACTAGCTGTATCTATGACAGCTTAACATTTTTTAATTTCTGCTCATAATTTTTAAAGAGAAAAAAAAATCAAGCTCTACCTACCTTATAAGCCTGCTTTGGGAATTAAAGGGAATGACATACATGAAAGTGCTCTGACAACTGTATGTTGTTGCTGTTGTTCGATGATATTGACGCAGAATCAACTCATGGCTGACCCACCAGTAGGTTACCAGAGGCTGTAAAGCACATGGGGGAGAATGCCTTCCCTGTGACCACAGAGCACTTGTGGATTTAACCACAGATGTGTAATCTCCTCCCATGTGATTTACTGCCTCTGAAAAGCTGCAGGAGGGTCGGCTATGCATCAGTTCTGACTTGATGGTACACCACCACAACAACAACAACAACATACTTGGATTGGTAATGCAACTCCTTACCACCTAAGCCACCAGAACTCTCTGAAAAGTACTGAATACTTTACAAATGCGAAGTTGGGCAGAGAAAAACAAAATCTAGGATGGTAGCTACTCTAATTAAAAGAAAACATTTTATTTAATTTGAAATATCTAATATGTGAAAGTAAAAAGAAAATTTTGGCTCGAATCCTCAAATCAGTGCCCTAATTCTTCACTAAACGTACAGGGCCTCCAATTTCCACATTCTGTTTTTCTGCCTGTTCAAGCAAGCTGATTTGCAGAATTCTTTGAACACTTTTCAAGTGTTTAGACAACAAAGCTTATAAGAAAATGTTAATCCAATAACAATATATGTTACTTTTAATGACAAACTAAATTTCAGGTGATCTTTCTTCTCAACCTGGAAATTTAGCTTTGCCAAGATAACTTGATGCAGACTTACTCTGATTTTTGTTTCTGGCTTTTAGACTGCTGGAGAATCTTGATGCCCATTTTAAATAGATGTTCACCTTCATCTGTGAAATTTTCCTTTCCTTGTGTTTTTACTATATGTGGATGAAAAAAGAAAATAAAAAAAGAAGAATTATTTTTACATCTTACATTTGAGAAACAAAGTATTAATTATCATGAAAGTAGATTTCTGGCATCTGTAAAGGTGGGGTGACCCATACATTTCATTTCCCAGAGAAGTCCTTTGGACGTGGAGCCTTGAAGAAACTGGTTCCTGAAAATAACCTTGGAATTCAAACAATGATTTGGATAAAAGAGTTAAGACCATTTTGCCTCAGGCACTGTTGTTGTGGTTCTTGTTGTTAGGTGCTGTCACATGGAGTATGACTCAATGAACTGAGCTATTAATGGCTGCCCTGAACCCTGCCCTATCCTGTGCGGTCCTCATCATCTCTGACACACTAGAGCCCACTGATGAAGCCACTGTGTCAATTCCTGTCATTGAGGGTCTTCCTCTCCTTTGCTGACCCTCCATCTTTCCAAGCATAATGTTCTTCTCTAAGGGATAGCCTTACTTAGCCTTACGTCCAACGTACAGAAGAAGACCTCGCCATCTGTGCCTCTAAGGAGCACTCCGGCTGCACCTTCTCAAAGACATATCTGTTTTATTCTTTTGGCACTCCACGGGGTATTCAGGACTCTTCTCCAGCACTACAGCTCAAAAGCATCAATTCTTCTTCTATCATCCTTATTCAATGCCCATCTCTCTGATGTATAGCAGATGATTGAGGAGACAATGGCCTGCTTCAAGTGTATCTTAGTTTTCAAACAGACATTATTGCTCTTCAGCATTTTGGATAGGTCCCTGTCAGGCATTATAGTCTTTTAAATAATTACCTTTGTGCAGTCAGTATAGAAAACTGATTTTCAAGGTCAGATGAAAAGCTGTGTTTTGAAATAAATGGTTATTATATGAACACTGTTCTGGTCCTGTTTCCATGGACTGCCAAAAAATGATCAAGTATGTTTTAGAAAAAAAGAGAACTGGAATGCTCCTTAGATGGAAGGATAATATAAAAAGACACGATGCTTGGAAGGGTGGTGGGTCAGAGAAGGAGAGGAAGACCCCTTCAAGATGTACTGACACAGTGATTGCAACAATGGGCTCAAGTGTATCAGAAATGGTGAGGATGGCACAAGATAGAACAGGATTCAGATCTGTTGTTTATTGGGTCGCTATGAGTCATACTTGACTCAACAGCACCCAACAACAACAATATGCTTTTGAAAGTTGGACAACGAATAAATATTAAGGAAAATAATTTATGTTTTTGAATTGTGATGTTAGAGCATAGAGCGAAATATCTCATGGACTGCTAGATAGAAATACATCTCAGAGGAAGTGCAACCAGGGTGCTCTTTAGAGGCAAGGGCTGTAAAACTCTTGTTACATATACTTTAGACATCTTGTCAGAAAGGGCTAGTCCTTACAAAAAGACATCACGCTGGGAAAGATGGAGAGTCCAAGAAAGAGAGGAAGACCCTTACAAGATGTATTGATATAGTGACTGGAACAGTGGGTTTGAACATTTCAGAGATGATTAGGATGGCAAAGGATAGGGAAAGGTTCAGATTTCTTGGTCATAGGGTTGTTATGAGTTGTATTTGACTTAATAGTACTTAATAATCACAACGGCAGCTATTGTAGCATTGGGTTTTTTGGTATAAATTGAAGTTTTGTACAACTATACATCAAGAAAACTTATTAGTACTATTTTCCAACAACAGCTGCTCAATTTTTGGCTGTGTGCCAATTAGTAATACTTTTAACATTTCAAACTTTTTCATAATTCTTTTGAACACTTAAAAGAATGTCCACTGGTTGTAACTATCACAGCTGCTGACTGACCCCTGCAGATCTTAGACCCTTTTAATAATGGTCTTCCACCATATTTGAGACCATCATTATATCTTACTCCTAAGACCTCTCATTAAAACTTAAAGATTTCAATTATAACCAGTGACCACTGAATGTAATTTTAAATCCTGACCTTCTGGTTCTAAAGTAATATTATGTGACTTGAAATAACTAGAAGAGTTTACATATAACATATGGAGTCATTATTATTTTTTAAACAACAACAAATCCTATACAACACATATGTGATGGTTGGGATTTCACTGTAACTATTACAATCATTATTACTTTACCTTTCTGTTTCAAGAGGACTTGACCTTTCTATATTATCCTATATGCCAGAAAGCAGAAGTTGCCCAAATAAGCACACCTTTCTATCTTTTGTGAAGAGTCTCTGAAAATAGGAGAGAGAAAGAGGCTCCCACACTGGGAAAGCAGTACAATTTAGCCGGTTTTGCAAGATTCTTGCAGATTTAGCAAGCAAAACAATGGACAGAAAAGGAAGCAAGGCATGGTGTAACCTAGAGGCAGGATTATAGGCACTAAAGTCTCAGCCCTAATTGCTTTGTCTAAGCATGATCACTCCACCTCTGAGCCATCAGAGTCCAAGGGAACATGAGGGCATAGACAAAAAGATAGCTTAAAGATGACCGGCGTGCATCTAGAATTGATAGAGGAAGCTCTGGTGGCCTAGGGTCAGGAAGCTGTGCTGCATGGTTTGTGTCCACCAGCTGCTCCACAGAATAAGGATGGACAATTTCCTACCATGTGATTAACTACTTCTGAATACCTGCTGGAGGGTTGGCTGTGGGTTCTGACTTGATGGTACACAACAATCTCTCTGAACTTTCTCTACCAAACTTTCCAACACCTTGGGAATGACACATAGAATTTTTAGGTGCCCTTGAGTCAGCTCTGAGTAATAGCAGCCCTACTTATAATAGACTGAAACTTGGCTGGAGCCCATGCCATCTCCACAATTTCTACTGTGCTTAAAACCACTGCTGCAACCACTGTGTCAATCTTCTTCCTTGAGGGTCTTCTTTTTCACTGATACTCTACTTTAGCAAGCATGACATCTTTCTGCAGGGACTTGTCCCCCCTCATAATTACATGCCCAAATTATGTGAGACCTATTCTCACCCTCATTGATTTTAAGGAACATTATGTGTTCAGGAATTCTTTCTTCTCAATGTTATTCATAATTTTTTATGATCAATCCAGTCTAGTGCCTCTCAAAATCGACAAAACAGAAATAAGCATCTTTCTGACATTCTGTTTTCATCCAAGATCTATCTGACATTCACTATAAGGCTCATTTCATATCCTCTTCTGAATCCAGTTGAATTTCTAGAAGTTCCCTGTCTATGTACCATGCCAGACACTTTAAAATTATCATCATCAAGATTTTGCTTGTATATGTGTCAGAATTAGTGAGATTAGCTCAGAGTCCAGAGTTCAGGGAAGAGTTCAGAGCTGCTGTACATAAGTAACTATGGGTCGAAAGCAACTTGATGGCACCTAACAATAACATGACATTAATCATGTCATTGTTAAGTACCATTGAGTTGAGCACAACTCATAGTGACCCTGTGAACAAAAGACCTGAACTGTGTTCTATAAATACTGTCCTTTCTCTATGTTCATAGAGTTTCTAGAGACATGTTGTTTAGTAAGTGGATGACACACCTGCTTCCAAGCCTGTCTTAATCTGGAACTCCACTAAACACTACCCAACATGGGTAACCATTCCAGCATTTGACATACCAGTGGCATAGGGTTCAGCATCAGAGTAACCCCAAGTTACCTCAGGACAGCAAATTGACAGACCAGTACTGTACCACTTAGAAGAATAATGATCCCAAACACAGTTAACATCAGGCCTGAAGGCCCAGCCAATTTTTAAATACAAGGCCCACCAGCCAGGTCCTGCCTGACTCCATAAACAAGAGGCTTCCAGGCCACAGTTCATTGTTAGCTAAGTCCAGCAAATCCAATCAGTTCTCACACAATTGTGAACAAAATAAAAAAAAAAAAAACCAAATAGTTCATATCCAACCCTCAACCAAAACTAGAGAACTCACCTTCTAGAATCCAAAGTTTCACACATAGCCTCCAAACTGGAGACTTTATGTTGTTCTATAATTTCCACACTTTTCTTGAATGGGAACAAATATGGGTCTTTCCAATCACCGATCCTTTCTCTGTTTCAACTTTTGCATTCCAGGCAGCAGTTACTACTGTAGTTGTTATTAGGTGCTGTCAAGTACAAATCATAGCAACTCTATGAACAACAGATCTAAAGCTTATCCTTTTCCACACCATCCTCATAACCTCTGACGCACGTGAGCCTATTGCTGCAGTTACTGTTGGAACATTTCTTCATGTGTTTGTGTACCTTCTAAATGTCTTCTTTGGTGAAGTGTCTGTTCATATTCTGTGCCCATTCTTCAGTTGGGTTGTTTATCTTGTCGTGGTGCTCAAGTATTTTATAAATTCTAGATGTAAGTCCCTTATCTGACATGTCATTACCAAATACTTTTTCCCAGTCCGTGGCTTCCCTTTTTACCCTGTTGGAGAAGTTTTTCGATGTGTATAGGGATTTGATTATTAGAAGGTCCCATTCATCTATTTCATCCTCTCCTGGTTGTTGTAGATTTTTCAGGATGCTTGGAGAAATGTTGATGTTGTGGATTAGGACTTCTAGAGTTCTTCCAAGCTTTTCTTTAATGGAGTTTATAGTCCTTGGTTTTAGTCCTGGGTCCATGATCCACCTTGAGTTAGTTTTTGTGTATGGAGTGAAGTGTGGATCTTGCTTGAGTTTTCTGCAGATAATTTTCCAATGTTGCCAACACCATTTGTTAAAAAGTCTGTCATTTCCCCACTTAAATGATTTCATCTCTTTATAAAAAAAAAGTTGACTATAGGTAGATGGTCTGATTTCTGGGTTCTCAATTCTATTCCATTGATCTATGCTTCTGTCGTTGTACTAGTATCACACTGTCTTGACCACCATGGCAGTTTAGAAGGATTTGAAATTAGGGAATGAGATGCCTCCTACCTTGCTTCTCTTTTTAAGGAGTTCTTTGCTTATTCAGGGCTTCAGATGGCCAACAAACACATGAAGAAATGTTCAAAATCTCTAGCTCTAAGAGACATGCAAATCAAAACAATTAT